AACGAACGAACGAACGAACGAACGAAAACGAATAACCGTAACGTTATGTCACAATCGCAGCTGTGGTCACCGGAGCGAGCAACGGAATTGCGTCAGGATAAGGCCGGCCACGAGAAAGCACCCGTAGTTTCGCCCCGTAGTTTGTCGTCGAAGAAATGCCAAATTCGAGATCGATGCGTGCGCGCGAACGATCGAGTTTCACCGATACTCTCTTTCTTTCTTTCGAATGAAGGAAGAATTCGGCTAGTTTTCACGTGACATTTGTCAGCCGTGTCACGTAGCCGCGACGAATCCACGCGCGAGTTGCACGAGTTGCACGAGCTCGAGCCAGAGAAAGTGAGCTTCGTACGTGAATGTCACAGGTCAAAATCCAGCTGGTGTATGTATGCTACAACGACAAGCGTGCAACCTCGTGCATGATCACCGGTGCACGCCGGTTTCGTCCGCCGATCGCGAGCGCGACCAAGATTCCCCACCCACGGCGGAGGAGGACGATGAACGTCCTCGGATTCTATTTTCGATCCTTGGCGAAAGTTGTGCACCGACCACGCGTATCCTGCTAGAGATGCAACGTCAACTACGCATCTGCGTGCGAACCTACCAGCTTCGTTCCTTTCCAAGGGACGCACGCTTGCTCTTTCTCTTTCCATCGAGATATATCAACGTGCAACATGTGCAGAGCAAGAAAAAACTGTGGCTGCAAATTACGCGGCAAATAACGCGGCGCGTAAAGTTCCTTCCGCTAGCGAGATTCTAATAATATCTCGTTGCGGAAAGAGCAATGGCCGTCGGTTTCTTTGCCGTTGGGAAAAGTATTTCCTGTATCTCGATACAGCAAGCTGGATCAAAGAGACTGCGTGTCCGAGTATTCAAGTACAGGATCGTTGAAGCAGGATAGGATAGAACGACGTGATCGTCATTCGTCGCCTCGCAATGCTTTCCAAAGCAAAGTATCCAAACGTTGCTCGGGTTGAGCACGTGTCTCAAGCGATCGAAAGAAAAACAGCGAAAAAAAGAGAGAAGCTAAAATTTAAAAGTACTGCCGATTCGTCTGGTCGGTGGCAAGTAGAATGGGATCTCGATGCTCTCGACGTCGGAGCAATTGTGAATAAACTTTTATCGATTAAATAAACTAAATAAAAGATTGTTTATTCTGTCGCCATGCTAATCTGGAATACTCGTTCAACGCAAGTTTGATTTAAAAATTTTCAAGTCCAAGCCCGTTCGAAGACCGTAATTGTAAGCACACTTTTTAACAAACTACGCGGCTAGGAATAGAGAGAGAAACGTACACACGTTCGCCGTGAAGTGAAAAATGACTTTTGGAAAAACGTATGTGAAACACGATATTTACGATTTTTTGTTTGGGGAAACAGCAGCGACAGATTGATTTGAAAGAAAAAAGAAAGAAAAATTATGGGAGAGAGAAGAGAATGAAATACAGCGGAGAATACACTAGGACGATTCACTTTTCAATTCAAGTGAACGATCACGATTTTCGTACAGTCAGTACGAAATAGAGAGAAGGGTGTACAGGTGGCCTGGTCACTTTTGTCAAGCAACAGCCCCTGTACACCGTTGGCTCGTTTCGTAAGATCGGGCATTTCGTAAAACGTGAGAGATTTCGTTTCGTTCGCAGATTGATAGGCTTGATCAGCTGCTGTCTGATAGCGGCGGTGAGATCGGCAGAGGAGGAGGAGTACGACTACGAGGAGGAGCCGGCGGCTCCGGTGACCCCTGCGCCGGCTAGGCCCACTTCCGGCCGGCTCGGAGGGCTCCTGTCATCGCGAGGGCGGATAAACGTCGGAAGGAAAGCAGCCGCCACGGCAGCCGTGAGTTTTCGAAACGCGAGCCAAGTAACCTGAACCTAAATAACGATTTCGCGATCGTGCATGCCTACCATTGCAGGCGCAGTCCACCACCGCCAAAGCGGTCGAACAGCCGGCCGAGGCCGAGGAAGAAGGCGAGGAGGAACTGGACGATAGTCAAGATCAGCAGGAGGAAATTCCAACCACCACGACCGAATCGTCGAAGAAAGTTCGCGGCGGTGTCAGACCTTTCAGGTGATCTCCCCACCCCCGTTCGCTGCAATTGTCAGCCTCGATGGGATCGAGCTCGATTCTCCAACTTGTACCTCATTTTTCCTGTCCCTTCGTTTCGAACAAAAAAAGAATGAAACAAAAGTAAACTGTATTTTATTACCGGCGTGTACTCCTGATTCGTGAAACGATCGAGAGTTCTTTTCGTTTTGGAATTGGAATTTTCAATCTCAGACTCGACCTCATTTCTTCAGTGTTGATTGTTCATTTTGTTTGAACGATTCTCTATTCTCAAACTTATTGCTACTTGAAATTCTGGCCGCGTAAATCGCGTATAAAAAGTGAACGAAGGAAACGGGTGTATTCCTCTTCCTCGTACTTTTCGAGTAGTTGGCATTGCAAGACCAAAGCTTCTTTTGCTTCCAGGTCGAATCAGGATCTGCTGGCGGCGCTGAAGAGAAGAAGAGCTCAAGTGGGGCCGAGTTCCCACCGAGAGCAAACCTCCGGCACGCAAGCCGCCGCGGAATCGACGACGC